TTTAAAAAATTGCAAAATGCCCGTATAATAATGCGCGCGCGTAGCGCGCGCCTGTGTTGTTCTAATATTCCATTTTTTAAAAGGTGTGTTAAATCGATGCTCTCAAGTATTGTTATCTCTTTTCTGCGATGCTGATTGGTTATCTCGATGCTGCGCTATGCATTACTTTATATCAATAAAAGCCTGTCATAACACATTTGACGATTCAAATATTAAGTGTGTGTAATTTTTATTTAATTTATTTTGAAAAAAGGGAGAACTAGAGTTAATATGTGTTAATAATTATACACACATACAAACAAAATAAATGGCGCGCGCTTATAGTGTTCCAGTTTAAAAAAAAAATAAATGTTTAAATAAATGTTAGTCTTGATGTGTCAACTTCCTCCTATAATACGTATTTAGTATTCATGAATCTTCCTGACATATTGCGTCAAACCGGAAGCCTGTAGATTATCACGTCGATGAGATTTTGTACACACAAATAAGGGATATAAATGACATTTTTTTTCGCGTGGCCAAATTTCTCATCCTCGATATGCGAGCGTAGACTGATGTCCCGTAGTTTCAGACTCGTAGACGAATTTAGAAAACGGATGTACGAAAGACGGAAAACGATGCGAAAAACACGTTACTGTGTATATCGAAGGGTCAAAGTAAATAGGCGTTCCGTACACCCTTGGTTGTTCTCGTGCCTCTGGATTATTTACGAGGAGGAAGAGATCTAACTCTCGTAACATTCTACGAAATGCGAACTCGGACTAGGACGTTACCCTCCATTATTCAACGGGATGGCCTGTCCCGCCGAAATGCCGGGGTTCTTCGTTGGCGGATTACTTAATTCACACGTTACAAAGAACATTTATCAGCCGACTATGACATAGGAATTTCTCTTTGACATCAAATTATGTTTGAACGAAGCGTAATCACCTCTTAGTATCATTTTTCATAATCAGTCCCGCCGCGGATGTCTGTGAAAAAAAAAATCAAAAGGAATTAAAATTAGCGAGTGCTTAAGATCGCTTCATTAGACGCGTTTTGTTAAACGATAAAGTTTAATAGTATTAATATACATCAAAATATCTATTATTATTCTATCGAACACCGATAGTAGCTTAATCACAATGATAATAATCTATGCTTAATTAAGAAGCATTTTTATAAAACTGCCTTTTTTGGATTGTTACAACTCTATAATAATAATAATAATGTTAAATATTTATTCGATTTAATAAGCGAATGAATAATTGTTACACTTTGTTAACAATATCGCGAATATATCCTGCATGGTATTATATTCCTTTTGTTACGCTTTTATACGACCAGTCAATTGGAATTTTGTGCTGCTTTTCCAATTTTCCACGAGGTGAGTGCAGTCGACAGCGATATAACGTGATTATTATGTAAAAGGGTGATACGCTATTAAAGGTAGAATAAAATTGATATTTTCGTTGCATTGAAGTTTCTAAATTGAATCGATCTTTAAGTTGCCTCTATCTTTTTATTTTATTATCATTAGAGTAATATTATTTTCGGCAAAATAGTCGTATCTGCCGTTCTTAATTATTATACCACGGTTAACAAAACTTTTCTTACCATCGTGGAAGATAAGCGAACCATCGTTCAAATGTGGTGCTTCCATCTTCCCTTCTTCCAAGAGAACGCTTTCGCTCTTTCACCTGCAAGACTCACCAGTAATACATACCGTCGCGGTCAGACAAAGGTAGTATTTACCCATGTTCGATTAGACAGTTACCTATCTCATCATTCTGCATTAAAAATATAATAATTTTTTTTATAATCTTTATTTTTTTACAGTATAATACATTTTATAAGCTATAACATAACGATTTTTTCTATGCAAAATTATTTTTTCATCTTTCGATCCTTTTTTATATAATAATTCATTTTGTGTACAATAAAGCATGAAATCAATTGCGAATCATAAATACTCTAATCTTCGAAAATTTTAAATTTCCATATATACTAAAAAAAATGATTAATAAAATTAATATAAAAGTAAAGTATATAATATCTGTTTTTATATATAATGTATTACAACGCGGCTTTGCGATAAATAATTCTATTCAATTCATTACGTCAAGCGTTTAAAATAAGATATGTGTGTGTGTGTGTGTGTAAAACTCTATTCTTAAAATATACAGGGTCATTGCTGACGTATAAGGAAAATATCTTTGCGCAAAAAATGTATTCAGCACTTTTAAGTAGTACAAAATAACAATTATATTGCAAAAAGAGCAGAATTCTGTTAAAATTTAAGAGTTTCTTTTCGGATAACATATTTCGCAATTTTTAGACATTTCCGCTGTCCTTTGTCGTGTCCTTGCATTTCTCGTCATTCCTTTTGCGCGTCGAAACTCGCACCCTCACCACCCCTTTGATCGTCATCTCTCGATTTCTCCCTACGCGTCCCTCTTCTCTTTGCAATGCACCACCGTGCAGTAACAGCATCGAAACAGTGCACATTTGACTACGTTTTAGCGACTGATTGAACCACTGAATTCGCGCAAGCGCGCGTTATTGTCGTCGAAAGAACGGGGACGTTCGGGGTATGGTGAAATCCTGGAAAATCAATACGGGGATGTCCGCCGGTAACCAGGCAGTCGGGGCTCATCCTTTGCGAGGAACGTGTCGGATATTCACGCGCACGCTCAGTTACGTCGGCAATAGTCGTCAGAACAGTCCATTGCACTCGAATCTTCATCGTCGTCGTGCGGAAGGTATCAGTTCTGATTCCTCTCGTTCTTCCTAATAAAATCTGGAGTTTTACGAGATTGAAGTGCATCGATTGGAGAAAGAAGGTGGTGGTGTCGTTATACTTGAGAAGAGACGACAATATTAGTGGACCTCTCGGGTAACTGACCTTGTGCAACAGCGCAACATTCGGCAATAAAACTGCTTCTACAAGAATCTTAAGAAAATCAAAGATTCATTACCACGTAATACGAAATTATTCACGATCTTCTCGTTTAAAACTAGAGAAACGCGTATCCTCCCTCGGGTACACGTTTGAATCGTTCCGAGAACATTCTCGACGTAGGACATTATTAAACGTAAAATCAGACAAGCCGTTGGGAGGCAATTAGAGTCCCGCGAGCTCTACCAAAGCCACTGATTGTTATCAGCATTGCTAGCCAGTTAGTCCAATCCTATCCCGGTACCACGATCGAGTTAGTAGGCATCCGCCAGGTCGCCGTCAGGCTATTAAGACGTCTGGTAGGCGCGAGTGATTTGTCCTTCTGCACGGATTTACCGAAACACCCCCAAAACGGCAACCCGTCGTCGTCGTGGTGCTGCCGGGGCCCCGCCGTTAGCCGCGAGAGATCGCGAGAAGGGAACTTGGGAAGATCGGCGGGAGGATCGGCCTGTTCGTACGCGACTGGCACCGATCCCTTGTACGCCGCTTGCTGGCGGCCCAGTGAGATGGAGGAGAAGTCCTCTGCCCGATTCTCCGAGTATCTGTTCGCCAAGATGGGCGGGCAGGACGTCTCGGCCTCTCAGGGTCCCCGTAAGGTGACCGCCGACACCAGAAAGTGGATGCGAGAGAACTTGCTGCTCATGGTCACCCTTTCCGGCGTTCTCCTCGGCGTTATTCTTGGTGAGCATCGGGGATGTTTATCAGAATTTCTTTTAAGTGAACACTATATATATCTTGTTATAATTCAGAAAATTTTTAAATTTGATATCATTTTTTATCGTTGATTATTGCACTTGTATTATTGATATTTCGACAGATATGACATCGCAGGGAGAAAATAAAATGTCTTGTGCAATATAAAATTTATACCATTTCAAGTGTTGCCGTTTTATATGTCAACTATAAATGATGAGTACTATTTGTGGCAATTGCTGCATTTAATGTTTTCAGCAGCTCTATGTAGACTAACAGTATATTATCTAGATCTTGATTTAATTTACCACGATAATCAATCAGCAATTCCTTCCTTTGACAACTGATTACTTTTTTTCAATATCATATATTTTCAACGTTTGGTTCATGAAAATCTTATATAACAATAAAAATGGCTTTACATACATATATTGTATAGATTTTATTCTATAATTAAAACTGTGCATATATATGATAATAGTATAATGAATGCTTGCAATATGTCAAACGTTCATATAAAAATCTGCGAGATACAGTATGATATATTTCACGATATGTGATATACTGTGAACTTTCATATATTGTGATAATCGACAAAGTGTTTCCTTGAAAAAGTTCCATCATATTAATTTGATCTCTTAGAGAGTCGATTCTTAATGGAAAATCAATATTTTCCCATTGTAATATGATAGATATTGCATGCTCATATATACATGTTATGACGTGTTTGTTTCCATGAATATATCATTCGATTTACCTGCAAATGTTAATGAATAGAGGAATTGTATTTAATTAAGAAAAAATTGATTTTATTACTTTGCATCGTGCAAAGGAAATGAAATAATTTATGATTAACACATTTATGATTTGATTTAATATCATCGTAACTGAATTATAATACAAAGATTGTTTCGTTGATGAATTTTACCAAGTCTATACGTTTGACGTAACTAAACGAGGTGAAACTAAATGTAACGATTGGCAGATGTATTGATAGAAACATCAATATATGTGAGTGAGTATTAGATTTACGCAAAATTCAATTTTCAACAGTTTGATTTAATACTCGATAGCCGAACATTCATAGATACATTGCTATAAATGGGAACGTTGACGGCATGATAATAATTTATACGATATCATTCGATAGAGGTCAGTTTGAATCTAAATCAACGCTTTCATTCATTTTTTAAATCAAAGATTCATGACCATATATCAAGCTCTACATCACCAACTTTTTTTGTGAATACTAACGAAGCATCTGTTATCCACATCATATCTTATCGTTGTTAATAATTGGTTTGAAGATGTACATTTATTTTTGTAGATGTGCACGCTTTACATACACGTATGTAACGACTCTCTACGTAGACTTATGTAACTAATCTGACTTGATGTGATAAAAAAGAATTGATCAAGCCTTCACCTTTTCATCATCCCCTTTCAGGATACTTTTTCTTCGCGATCAAATAATAAGCCAGTTAACTATAATAAGTTTAAATATAGTTCAAGGGCAGGCGCTCCGTAGACGCTCTCTTTTACGTGCTTTACGTTGCAAACGAAAAGGCGCCATTGTCGCGGCACAGAATTGTGGATTAATAAAATAGCGTCTCTCCACAGGATTCGGTTTACGACCTCTGGACCTTGGGGATGATGCGGTAATGCTGATCAGCTATCCTGGAGAACTTTTTATGAGATTGCTAAAGCTGATGATCTTACCTTTGGTAATCGCCAGTCTTATTTCGGGTGAGTCTCTTCCTATTATTGCATGAGTGAAGTAAAATACGTGTCAACTGCTCATTCACCTTAAAAAAATGCTTGTTTACTTAATTTATTTTTACGTATTATTCTAGGTTCGGCGAGTTTAAACGCCAGGATGAATGGAATGATCGCTGTTCGTACTCTGGTATACTTCATACTGACGTCCTTGCTCAATGCTGTTCTCGGTGTAGTCCTAGTCCTCGTTATTCATCCCGGTAATCCCGGTATCAGAGAATCGATCGGGCCGTCGCATCACGCGAGAGCCGTTAACATACTAGACAGCCTGCTCGATTTAGGAAGGTAAATTATGTCTGCGATATCTCATCGCTTTCAATATCGATTCTGTCAATATCAATAATGTATATAGATTCGCTTGAAGTTTTTCTATTAAAAACGGAGGTAATTGAGCGCGAAGGTCAACGGGTGCATGGAACGATGAGAAAACAATCAACGAATATAATCAATTTTATAGTCTGTTTATGTATTCCATTTATGTTCAAGTATCTTATAATTGGAATCGTCTTATTAATTGTATTTTTGCAAAAAAAAAAAAAATCTTTAATAAAAATTCTCTGCCGCGATTTTTTATTACGAGAGTTTTGAATAACGTGTACGATAATAACGTAATATTGAAATGATATCGATTCGCGATACTTCTCTTTACCGCTGTAAAGCTGAATCATTGCAGTAGTAGCGTTACCTAAGTCGGATTAAGGTCATAGCATTTTATAAGCCGTAAATTCCACTAAACGGAACTCATCATGATTGCATATACTATTCGTTGAGACAAAAATAGAAGCTCATCGATCGTGCGTGTTTTAGTCGCACGAAATTCACTCCAAAACTCTGTTTGAAAGCCCACACAATGCCCTGACATGATTTTCCAATGTTGGATGTAAAATCGAAGAATACCGCTCGCCATTGGAAACTATTTAATAATTTTTTACTTCAGTAACACAAGATAAGATCATTTTAACTGAAAAGTCGCCGCATGGTTTGCGCCGCGACTTAATCAATGTTTAAAGGCTATGGATAAAATAAAGGCCGTGGAAAATGCGTTATTTTTAAAATATATATCCCTTTGTCATAATAAACGAAGACATACTGCTTACTTGTTCAATGTGTTTAATAATATTTAAAAATATGTGCACAATTTTGTAAATTAATAATTTTGCAGGAACATGTTTCCAGACAATTTGTTTCAAGCAGCTTTTCAACAGGTGAGGATGATAACTCGATTTTTGCAATATGCCGTATTGAAAAAGGAGAAATTAGCTTGCAATTCAATAATAATAATATGCTGTTACAGGCACACACGGTGTACGTTCCAAAAAAGCAACCAGTCCAGAATATTACTGACCAGGTATCAACGGAAGATTTAGGAGACGAGGAATTGATAAGAGTGATACAGTATAGAAGCGGGACGAACACTTTAGGCATAGTATTCTTTTGCCTGGTCTTTGGTACATTTCTTGGAACACTCGGTGAAAAAGGTCAAGTTGTCATAGATTTCTTCAAGGCTGTGTTCGAAGTCATCATGCGGATGGTCTCGACTGTTATGTGGTGAGTTTTGAAATCTAAATCGAAAATCGAAAGTGGCATGACAGCTTTGTGACATGTGATGGAAAATATCTTGTTTCTTCAGGATGACACCAATCGGCATCACCTCTGTAATAGCAGGCAAAATACTCGGCGTGGACGATCTGGTACTGGTGATGTCGCAGCTAGCATGGTTCATCGTTACGATCGTGATCGGTGTCTTTCTCTATCAGCTGGTGATCATGCAGTTGATATATATGGCCTTCGTTAGAAAGAACCCCTTTAAATTCTACGCCGGCCTCGCCCAGGGTACTCTCACCGCCTTCGCCATGGCATCAACGTGAGTCGTCGATCTTCGAATCCGAGCCCGACCTTGAGAGAATCCATTTCGCCTGCCTCACAGGGCCTCGGTCAACGTTGTGATCGTATTTTCTGACCTCGTAGTTTCCTCGTCGGTCGTCTCCCGCATATATTCCATTTATATTTCCTTCCTTTCTTCCGCTTTTTTGTTTTTCTCACGTGGACCTTTCTTACGTTTACGCGAAATGGAGCTGGTCTGTCGCGCGATTAATAGTGCAAGTAGTTGATTCCAAAACAATTGACATCGCAAAATGAGATAGACAATGAGTGATACGTGGCGATAAAAGATGTGTATCGATCGAATTGATTGACAGAGACAATATGTTTCAGCCAGCTGTGTGGAGGCTTTGCGAGGCCACGATCCCGATATCCCTTCCGAAATCAGTCGAGCCAGCTTTACATAACTTTCGGCAAATACATAACTTTTGGCTTCATATATATTCTCTTTGCTTAGTTTTTATATAAAAATGTTATGAAAGCTGGCACAATTCCTAGTTGTCCTATTAGTCCTTTCTCCATATATGACAATCTCTTTTAATGTTCGCTTGCGAGGAGAGCTCGCCATGCCACATGAGAAAGAGAGAAAGAGGGAAAGAGGGATGCAGTTCCGGGGAACACTTAGAATGCTG